AATGGCTGTTTTCTATAGCCCAGCCATACGAATGACTGTTTTTTCCCGAACAAACCTGCCGAACGGACGGCCACTCAGGAGAGAAGTGTGCTGCTGGTTAACCTATTGATCCCAATTAGAACGTTGTGGTTAACCGCAGACCCTTCTCAATTACACGAATGCAGGGTGGTCGTCGTTCGTATGTCGACCACGAGGCAGCGGCCATTTTAAAACCATGCGAAAGCCCAGCGGTGTTCAGCTCTATTTTCATGGAACTAAAAACGGACACTTTTTCTGCCGAACACCGCTGAAACAACGGAACGCCTGGCTGCCTCCACGAATGCATACGAACACCGGCTGTTCGGGAGTTTGGAAAGCATACGAAAGGACTTAACCCAGATAGCCTTCCCATGGAGTCATTCGTATACCGAAAGACTGTAAGAACTTTGACTCCATGGCGATTGAACTATGTGTGTGGGATCTGAGCGCTATTCGCTAATAATATGCACTCAGATCCAGGCTATCTGGGGATATGTGATGCGAATGGGAAATGTTCAGGTTTTGTAAAGTTATGTATTTTTATGTCTTTTTCTGATTTTATACTTAAAATGGCAACTGGCTTTGTCCTGGAGATAATTGAGTTACTTGGTAATTATCTCCAGGGCAGAGGGGAGGGAATCATAGTGCATTGTGGGTAAAAACTGTGTCTATGTGTCTGGAATGTCCCCATATCTGTCTGTCATTTAAGTCTCCCATTTGGTCCCCTAGTGGAGTGTCCACCAAGTGGGAGACCTGCATAAATACGGGCAGGTAGCCCACAGTAAAGCCAGATCCTGTTTGACCCTCAATGCGGAGCTTCTGTCTCGTTATTGGGGGGATTTCTTCTTCACGTTTAGAGACTGCTGGATGGAACCGAAAGCCGCTTGGTGGATGTTATTGTTCGGCGGCTAGCAGCAGTTCGTGTATTGCCGTTCGGGAGTTTGGAGCCGTTCGCGGATCCCGGTCGGGAGATTACCGCTTCCCCTGCATTTGGTTTGTGCACTACAGGTTATGCGAACGGAGATTATTTGTATTACAGACGGGGAAGGTCGACTAAACGGCGGTTTTGCTTAAAGACACTGGGGGTGTCTTAATGCAAAAAGTGGCAAAAGTGGCTGTCTACTAGCACATGCTTTGAAAAAAAAAGAGAGAGACAACTTTTATAGGTTCTATCCAAGACACGACAGGTAAACAATCACACCTCATGTCGGACATTTCCAAAGCCTTTCACAAATTCTACTCCTCACTTTACAATCTGAGGGCTGACCCACCACCCGCATCAGAAATACAGGAATTCCTCACACATAGAATATCGTGCACCATACCTCCTAACATTAGGCAATCCCTAGAACAACCCATATCCCTGCGGGAATATCAAGAGGCGATTAAACAACTTCACCTCGGGAAAAGCCCAGGGCCTGACGGTCTAACGGCAAAATACTATAAATCCTTCTCGGCACCGTTAGCACAACACTTCCTCAATACATACAACTCTTTACTTAAGCGGGTAGACATTCCTCCCCAGGCGCTAAATGCTACAATCACACTATTGCCCAAACCAGGGAAGGACATCACGAAATGTGGGAGTTATAGACCTATATCCCTAATAAATATAGATCTAAAACTGTTCACCGAAATACTGGAAAACCGCCTTCACCCTATCCTATCGGATATGGTACACTCAGATCAATCGTGCCAGGCAGGGAGGCGAAACACAATACGACCAAAATCCTAAACCTCATCCACCTTGCGAAATACTCAGACCGCCCCAGCATACTCCTGTCAAAAGATTCTGAAAAATCCTTCAACAGGGTAGACTGGACTCTGATGAGACACACACTCCAACACATGGGCTTTGGCCCCAATTGGATAAAGTGGTTAGGGGCCTTATATTCCAAACCAACAGCGCAAATACGCATCGATGGACAATTGTCTGACCCAGAACCCATCTCCAGTGGCATGCGACAGCGCTGTCCTCTGTCCCCTCTACTCTTCATCCTAGTACTAGAATCCTTTCTACAAGGCATAAGGGACAACTCACTAATAAAGGGGATTAGGGTGGGGGCGACCGAACATAAGATAGCCGCATTCGCGGGTGTCATTTTATTCACTATAACGCAGCCCACTGCCTCTCTCCCCCACCTAATGAAAGAAATGGCGACCTACAGTAACATTTCCAACTTTCAAGCCAACATCACTAAGTGCGAACTTCTCCCAATCACACTCCCCTCTGACTCTATGGTACAACTGGGGGTACACATTACTAAAGCCACTTCACTACTACAGGGAGTGCAGAATTATTAGGCAAGTTGTATTTTTGAGGATTAATTTTATTATTGAACAACAACCATGTTCTCAATGAACCCAAAAAACTCATTAATATCAAAGCTGAATATTTTTGGAAGTAGTTTTTAGTTTGTTTTTAGTTTTAGCTATGTTAGGGGGATATCTGTGTGTGCAGGTGACTATTACTGTGCATAATTATTAGGCAACTTAACAAAAAACAAATATATACCCATTTCAATTATTTATTATTACCAGTGAAACCAATATAACATCTCAACATTCACAAATATACATTTCTGACATTCAAAAACAAAACAAAAACAAATCAGTGACCAATATAGCCACCTTTCTTTGCAAGGACACTCAAAAGCCTGACATCCATGGATTCTGTCAGTGTTTTGATCTGTTCACCATCAACATTGCGTGCAGCAGCAACCACAGCCTCCCAGACACTGTTCAGAGAGGTGTACTGTTTTCCCTCCTTGTAAATCTCACATTTGATGATGGACCACAGGTTCTCAATGGGGTTCAGATCAGGTGAACAAGGAGGCCATGTCATTAGATTTTCTTCTTTTATACCCTTTCTTGCCAGCCACGCTGTGGAGTACTTGGACGCGTGTGATGGAGCATTGTCCTGCATGAAAATCATGTTTTTCTTGAAGGATGCAGACTTCTTCCTGTACCACTGCTTGAAGAAGGTGTCTTCCAGGAACTGGCAGTAGGACTGGGAGTTGAGCTTGACTCCATCCTCAACCCGAAAAGGCCCCACAAGCTCATCTTTGATGATACCAGCCCAAACCAGTACTCCACCTCCACCTTGCTGGCGTCTGAGTCGGACTGGAGCTCTCTGCCCTTTACCAATCCAGCCACGGGCCCATCCATCTGGCCCATCAAGACTCACTCTCATTTCATCAGTCCATAAAACCTTAGAAAAATCAGTCTTGAGATATTTCTTGGCCCAGTCTTGACGTTTCAGCTTGTGTGTCTTGTTCAGTGGTGGTCGTCTTTCAGCCTTTCTTACCTTGGCCATGTCTCTGAGTATTGCACACCTTGTGCTTTTGGGCACTCCAGTGATGTTGCAGCTCTGAAATATGGCCAAACTGGTGGCAAGTGGCATCGTGGCAGCTGCACGCTTGACTTTTCTCAGTTCATGGGCAGTTATTTTGCGCCTTGGTTTTTCCACACGCTTCTTGCGACCCTGTTGACTATTTTGAATGAAACGCTTGATTGTTCGATGATCACGCTTCAGAAGCTTTGCAATTTTAAGAGTGCTGCATCCCTCTGCAAGATATCTCACTATTTTTGACTTTTCTGAGCCTGTCAAGTCCTTCTTTTGACCCATTTTGCCAAAGGAAAGGAAGTTGCCTAATAATTATGCACACCTGATATAGGGTGTTGATGTCATTAGACCACACCCCTTCTCATTACAGAGATGCACATCACCTAATATGCTTAATTGGTAGTAGGCTTTCGAGCCTATACAGCTTGGAGTAAGACAACATGCATAAAGAGGATGATGTGGTCAAAATACTCATTTGCCTAATAATTCTGCACTCCCTGTATACAACAGCAACTTTCCCAAGCTGCTTCAAGCCATAACACACGATCTTAACACATGGAACCTCCCACACTTTGGCTGGTTTAGTAGATTGAATCTTTTAGAAATGAACATACTCCCCCGCATCCTCTACCTGCTCAGGTACTACCAATAACCCTGCCCAAACATCTATTCAACACGATCCGTAAAACATTCACAACCTTCATCTGGGCACACAAAAAAACATGCCTTCCGTTCTCCCTGCTCAAACAGCTCAAGGAAGAAGGAGGGTTAGGCCTACCAGATCTGGAACTCTATCACAAAGCTATCCACTTATACAGGGTATATGACTGGTCCACACCACAATCTAACAAACAATGGGTAGAACTAGAAGATGCATGTACCCGCTCACTGATACACACCATCCCATGGCATAAAACAAGTATAGCATTCTTGACACAACAAGGTCATCCAACTATAACACCCACGCTACGCATATGGGCCCACATCCGTAACCATCACCAGTTATCCCCATTCCCGTCGCCGCTCTATCCGATCACGCATAACCCATTATTCCCACCGGGGTTAGACGGGAAAGCCTACTTGCACTACCATAACTCTCCCAACTTCACACTCGGAGATAGCAGAGAAGAATCAGGCATCCGACCACTAAAGATATCTAATATCCTGGCAGGAAGCACATTAAAATCTTTTGAACAACTTCAAACTGAATACAGCATTCCATCTACTGAATGGTTTAACTATATAAGGGTAATAGCTTTTATAAAAATAATTTTTTGAGATTTAATCCTCTTGAACCGCCAGTCAAGCTTCTTTCAGATATATGAGCAAACAGATTACACCCATTTAGCTAATAAATGTAAAAAATTAATCTACAAGTCTCAGATTAAAGCAACTCCCTCGGCAATTACTAAATGGAATTAAGGCCCTGGGGAGATAGTGCAGCTAAGCGGACAAGGGCACATGTAGGAGTGTGGGGATAGATGCAGGGAGAGAGAGAGATCAGAGAGAGAGAGACAGTGTGTCAGAGAGCTCTCAGATCAGAGAGAGAGAGACAGTGTGTCAGAGAGCTCTTTGATCTGAGAGCTCTCTGACACACTGTCTCTGTCTCTCTCTCTCTTTGATCTGAGAGCTCTCTGACACACTGTCTCTGTCTCTCTCTGATCTGAGAGCTCTCTGACACACTGTCTCTCTCTGAGAGAGACAGTGTGTCAGAGAGCTCTCAGATCAAAGAGAGAGAGACAGAGACAGTGTGTCAGAGTGCTCTCAGATCAAAGAGCTCTCTGACACACTGCCTCTCTCTCTCTGATCTGAGAGCTCTCTGACACACTGTCCCTGTCTCTCTCTCTGATCTGAGAGCTCTCTGACACACTGTCTCTGTCTCTCTCTCTGATCTGAGAGCTCTCTGACACACTGTCTCTCTCTCTCTCTGACACACTGTCTCTGTCTCTCTCTGACACACTGTCTCTCTCTGATCTGAGAGCTCTCTGACACACTGTCTCTCTCTCTCTCTGACACACTGTCTCTCTCTGACACACTGTCTCTGTCTCTCTCTCTGATCTGAGAGCTATCTGACACACTTTCTCTCTCTCTCTGATCTGAGAGCTCTCTGACACACTGTCTCTCTCTCTCTGATCTGAGAGCTCTCTGACACACTGTCTCTGTCTCTGATCTGAGAGCTCTCTGACACACTGTCTCTGTCTCTCTCTGATCTGAGAGCTCTGACACACTGTCTCTGTCTCTCTCTGATCTGAGAGCTCTCTGACACACTGTCTCTGTCTCTCTCTGATCTGAGAGCTCTCTGACACACTGTCTCTGTCTCTCTCTGATCTGAGAGCTCTCTGACACACTGTCTCTGTCTCTCTCTGATCTGAGAGCTCTGACACACTGTCTCTGTCTCTCTCTGATCTGAGCGCTCTCTGACACACTGTCTCTGTCTCTCTCTGATCTCTCTCTGACACACTCTCTCTCTCTGACACACTGTCTCTGATCTGAGAGCTCTCTGACACACTGTCTCTCTCTCTCTGATCTGAGAGCTCTGACACACTGTCTCTCTCTCTCTGATCTGAGAGCACTCTGACACACTTTCTCTCTCTATCTGATCTGAGAGCTCTCTGACACACTGTCTCTCTCTCTCTCTAACACACTGTCTCTCTCTGACACACTGTCTCTGTCTCTCTCTCTGATCTGAGAGCTCTCTGACACACTTTCTCTCTCTCTCTGATCTGAGAGCTCTCTGACACACTGTCTCTCTCTCTCTGATCTGAGAGCTCTCTGACACACTTTCTCTCTCTCTCTGATCTGAGAGCTCTCTGACACACTGTCTCTCTCTCTCTGATCTGAGAGCTCCCTGACACAGTCTCTCTCTCTGATCTGAGAGCTCTGACACACTGTCTCTCTCTCTCTCTGATACACTGTCTCTCTCTCTCTGATCTGAGAGCTCTCTGACAGTCTCTCTCTCTCTGATCTGAGCGCTCTGACACACTGTCTCTGTCTCTCTGATCTGAGAGCTCTCTGACACACTGTGTCTCTCTCTGATCTGAGAGCTCTGTGACACACTGTCTTTGTCTCTCTCTGATCTGAGAGCTCTCTGACACACTGTCTCTCTCTCTGATCTGAGAGCTCTCTGACACAGTGTCTCTGTCTCTCTCTGATCTGAGAGCTCTCTGACACACTGTCTCTGTCTCTCTCTGATCTGAGAGCTCCCTGACACACTGTCTCTCTCTCTCTGATCTGAGAGCTCCCTGACACACTGTCTCTCTCTGATCTGAGAGCTCTCTGACACACTGTCTCTCTCTCTCTGATCTGAGAGCTCTCTGACACACTGTCTCTCTCTCTCTGATCTGAGAGCTCTCTGACACACTGTCTCTCTCTCTGATCTGAGAGCTCTCTGGCACACTGTCTCTGTCTCTCTCTGATCTGAGAGCTCTCTGACACACTGTCTCTGTCTCTCTGATCGAGCTCTCTATTTCCTGTCTCTCTCTCTCTCTGACACTGTCTCTCTCTACTCTGATCTGAGGCTCCTCTGACACCTGTCCTCTGTCTCTCTCTCTCTCTCTCTCGACACACTGTCTCTCTGTCTCTCTCTCTCTGACACGCATCTCTGTCTCTCTCTCTCGACCACACTGTCTGCATATACTCTGATCTGAGAGCTCTGACACACTGTCTCTGTCTCTCTCTGATCTGAGAGCTCTCTGACACACTGTCTCTGTCTCTCTCTGATCTGAGAGCTCTCTGACACTGTCTCTCTCTCTGATCTGAGAGCTCTCTGACACACTGTCTCTGTCTCTCTCTCTGACACACTGTCTCTCTCTCTGACACACTGTCTCTCTGTCTCTCTCTCTGACACACTGTCTCTCTGTCTCTCTCTCCGACACACTGTCTCTGTCTCTCTCTGATCTGAGAGCTCTCTGACACACTGTCTCTCTCTCTGATCTGAGAGCTCTCTGACACACTGTCTCTCTCTCTGATCTGAGAGCTCTCTCACACTGTCTGTCTCTCTCTCTGATCTGAGAGCTCTCTGACACACTGTCTCTCTCTCTGATCTGAGAGCTCTCTGACACACTGTCTCTCTCTCTCTGATCTGAGAGCTCTCTGACACACTGTCTCTCTCTCTCTGATCTGAGAGCTCTCTGACACACTGTCTCTCTCTCTGATCTGAGAGCTCTCTGACACACTGTCTCTGTCTCTCTCTCTGATCTGAGAGCTCTCTGACACACTGTGTCTGTCTCTCTCTCTCTGATCTGAGAGCTCTCTGACAATGTCTCTCTCTCTGATCTGAGAGCTCTCTGACACACTGTCTCTGTCTCTCTCTGATCTGAGAGCTCCCTGACACACTGTCTCTCTCTCTCTGATCTGAGAGCTCCCTGACACACTGTCTCTCTCTGATCTGAGAGCTCTCTGACACACTGTCTCTGTCTCTCTCTGATCCGAGAGCTCTCTGACACACTGTCTCTCTCTCTCTCTGATCTGAGAGCTCCCTGACACACTGTCTCTCTCTCTCTGATCTGAGAGCTCTCTGACACACTCTCTCTCTCTCTGATCTGAGAGCTCTCTCACACACTCTCTCTCTCTCTGATCTGAGAGCTCTCTGACACACTGTCTCTCTCTCTCTCTGATCTGAGAGCTCTCTGACACACTGTCTGTCTCTCTCTGATCTGAGAGCTCTCTGACACACTGTCTCTCTCTCTCTCTGATCTGAAAGCTCTCTGACACACTGTCTCTCTCTCTGATCTGAGAGCTCTCTGACACACTGTCTCTCTCTCTCTCTGATCTGAGAGCTCTCTGACACACTGTCTCTCTCTCTCTCTGATCTGAGAGCTCTCTGACACACTGTCTCTGTCTCTCTCTGATCTGAGAGCTCTCTGACACACTGTCTGTCTCTCTGATCTGAGAGCTCTCTGACACACTGTCTCTCTGTCTCTCTCTGACACACTGTCTCTCTCTCTGCTCTGACACACTGTCTCTCTCTCTCTGATCTGAGAGCTCTCTGACACACTGTCTCTCTCTCTCTGATCTGAGAGCTCTCTGACACACTGTCTCTGTCTCTCTCTGATCTGAGAGCTCTCTGACACACTTTCTCTGTCTCTCTCTGATCTGAGAGCTCTCTGACACACTGTCTGTCTCTCTCTGATCTGAGAGCTCTCTGACACACTGTCTCTGTCTCTCTCTGATCTGAGAGCTCTCTGACACACTGTCTCTGTCTCTCTGATCTGAGAGCTCTCTGACACACTGTCTCTCTCTCTGATCTGAGAGCTTTCTGACACACTGTCTCTCTCTCTCTCTCTGATCTGAGAGCTCTCTGACACACTGTCTCTGTCTCTGATCTGAAAGCTCTCTGACACACTGTCTCTGTCTCTCTCTGATCTGAGAGCTCTCTGACACACTGTCTCTGTCTCTGATCTGAGAGCTCTGACACACTGTCTCTCTCTCTCTGATCTGAGAGCTCTCTGACACACTGTCTCTCTCTCTCTGATCTGTCTCTCTCTCTGATCTGAGAGCTCTCTGACACACTGTCTCTCTCTCTCTCTGATCTGAGAGCTCTCTGACACACTGTCTCTCTCTCTCTGATCTGAGAGCTCTCTGACAGTCTCTCTCTCTCTCTGATCTGAGAGCTCTGACACACTGTCTCTGTCTCTCTGATCTGAGAGCTCTCTGACACACTGTCTCTCTCTCTCTCTGACACACTGTCTCTCTCTCTCTGATCTGAGAGCTCTCTGACACACTGTCTCTCTGTCTCTCTCTCTCTCTCTCTGACACACTGTCTCTCTGTCTCTCTCTCTCTCTGACACACTGTCTCTGTCTCTCTCTCTCTGACACACTGTCTCTGTCTCTCTGATCTGAGAGCTCTCTGACACACTGTCTCTGTCTCTCTCTGATCTGAGAGCTCTCTGACACACTGTCTCTCTCTCTCTCTGACACACTGTCTCTCTCTCTCTCTCTGATCTGAGAGCTCTCTGACACACTGTCTCTGTCTCTCTCTCTCTCTGACACACTGTCTCTCTCTCTGACACACTCTCTCTCTGTCTCTCTCTCTGACACACTGTCTCTCTGTCTCTCTCTCCGACACACTGTCTCTGTCTCTCTCTGATCTGAGAGCTCTCTGACACACTGTCTGTCTCTCTGATCTGAGAGCTCTCTG